CACGGTCGTTTGATTCTTCAAGTCATAATTGTTAGCTAGAGGGAGCAACGCTCGGGTGAATCTTTCTCAACTAGAGTCAAATCCATTTTACCTTTACAAAGCAATTTAGTTTGTTTTCACCAAAATCAATCCACTAAAGAATGTTTCGAACAGTCGAAGTAGCAGTACATGGATCAGGTCGGGTCGATATTTAAATATACTTTCCCTATATTGCACCCATCTAAGGATTATACTTGGACCTTAGGTGAGATTTTATTGTGATAGTCAGAGCGAGTCAGTATTCTCTTATGTTATTGATTGTTTGGATATTATCAGACGGGAGGGAAATTCTTATGCAAAAGGCGACGCATCTTGCATGTTGAGGTTAGTCCAAAACTTTGATTTTGAATTGCATCTTGAAAATGATGATTAAAGTGCTTGTAGTTACTAGTGTTTTGCTTGCAAACTTTGCAAAAGAAAGACCAGGCAAAGTTTATATTACAAAATATGAGGGATAGTGCTAAAAAACAAGGAATCTTTTCCTATTGTCAACATGAATATCTATATTTTCCTTTCGAAAGACCATGGTGAAATGCTAAAAAACTCACTAATCTGCATCATTAAAAGGTTGAGTTATTTGATAGTCATTGATATGCAGTTACAAGAGCTCAATTGTCGCTTCAATGAGGTTAATACATAATTGCTATGTTTTGTGGCATGCTCAAATTCATATAATTTATTTGTTGACTTTGACAAAGAAAAGTTGATAAAGCTTGCTACCTTTTATTCGAATGAGTTCTGTAAAGACGACATCTTACATCTTGAGATTCATCAACTAGATGATTATATATTTGATAGAAGACAGTTGAGAAGTTTTAAGGATTATAGAGAATTGCTTAAGTTTCTAGGGAACTGGTTGTGTCAAAGAACTGTAGAGTGTTTCCTTTAGTGTATGGCATGGTTCGATACCACTCACCACTATGAATGTTGAGAGAGCATTTTCGCATTGAATTTTGTGAAGAACACACTTCGAAATCGGATGAGTGATGAAATAATTATTAATTTTTTGGTAGGGTATATTAAGAGTGACATCCTTGATAGTTTGGATGATACATGTATTTTAGATACTTTTTGGAATATTAAAACACGTCGTGGATCATCTTAAACATTAATAAAACTTATGCTTTATTTTAGTCTATTATTGGACCTACCTGAGCTAAATTTCTGACTATATCACTAGATATACGGTAGGTGCATAACGAGACTGCTATCTAGTTTAACTATTCACTTGTCACATATACTGAGAGTATACTTTAAGTTCATTTGGATGAACTCATGTGGAAACAAAGAACAATATAGTCACTACCATGTTTACTAGGTATCACAACTAACTAAATGTGTCTGCCAATTCCATGTCCCAAATTAGCAAACACTTTAATCAATCTGAGTATTAGGGTTGGTATTCGGTAACCCGATATTTGGTATAACCGTTTACCGGGCTTATCTTCTCTGTTTCTCACTCGAGTCCAAGTTTGAGTCTTCGTCTTCCTCTTCTCTCACTACTCACCACCAGCCACCACCAGTCCACGACATAGAGAGGTACGACATCCTTGCTTGAAGCTTCACCGGCCACCGATGAATCTCTTCAAACTTTAGCCGTTGTCGAGTATGAAAGATATATGTTTGGAAGAATGTTTTGTGTGTTTGTATTGATATGATTGAGCTGAATATATACAATACAGCAGAGAGATTAGGTTACAGAGATGGAAGAAAGTGGAAACGTGGAGAGGGTTTGTAGCTAACAACCTAACAGCTACAACAAGTGATTGCTAGAGACTCGGAGAGTCATAACCACAAGAGAAGAACGTTGAGGCATAAATAATAATTAAATGGTGTCTTTGATGTCTCTAACACGCCCCCACAAGATCGACGTAGTGTCAACAACGCCGATCTTGGACCGAAGAAGTAGAAATCGCTGCGCCGGGAGAGGTTTGGTGAGAGCGTCAGCTAATTGATGTGACGTCGGAACGTAGGAGACCGTGAGTTGACCCGCCTGAACAAGTTGCCGAACAAAGTGATAGTCTAGCGCCAAGTGCTTCATCCGCGAGTGGAAAACAGGATTAGCACTGAAGGAAGTAGCACCCATATTATCCGAAAATAATGTGGGGGCGTAGATACAGGATGATGTAATTCGAGCAAGAGGTTGCGGATCCAAGCAATTTCAGCGGTGGCGTGAGCAATGGCACGGTACTCGGCTTCTGTGCTCGAACGAGCAACAGTACGTTGTTTCTGAGACCGCCAAGAGATGAGGGTATCACCGAGATAGACAAGATACGCTGATGTGGAGGAACGATCATCCAAGTCACCAGCCCAATCAGAATCAGCAAAGGCGGATAGCCGGAGCGAACCAGTAGGACGATGAATAGCCAGTCCATAAGTGGAAGTACCAGATATATAGCGCAAAAGCCGCTTAAGACATTGCCAATGATGAACAGATGGAGCATGCATAAACTGGGAAAGTTTATTAACAGCAAAGGCAATGTTAGGGCGGGTATATACCAGGTACTGCAGCGCACCAATGACCTGGCGAAAACGTGTCGCATCGGTGGAGGAAGTGCCATCAGTGCGAGACAAGGAGACAGACGAGGCCATAGGAGTGGCTGTGGACTTTGCATCTTGCATGAGGAAGCGGTGGACAACATCGGTGATATATTTGTGTTGCGAGAGAATATACCCGGTAGCAGTGGGAAGTACCTCAATGCCCAAGAAGTAATGAACTTGACCAAGAGCTTTGAGGGAAAAACGCCGAGAAAGAGCATCTTGGAAGGCTGATAAAGCAGTGGAGTCATTACCAGTGAGTAATAAGTCGTCGACATAGACCATGAAGTAGAGAAGAACACCGCCCCGAGAGTAGACAAAGAGTGAGGCATCGGAGTGAGTTTTCTGAAAACCATAGTCACTGAGAAAGGAACTAAGAGCCGTGTACCATGCCCGGGGAGCCTGACGAAGACCATATATAGCCCGGCGAAGGCGACAAACATGATGAGGCCTGGATGGATCCACAAAACCTGGTGGCTGCGTCATGTAGACCTCATCCTCCAGGGGACCTTGTAAAAAGGCATTATTAACATCAAACTGCAAAATAGGCCAATTATGAGAGAGAGCCAGAGTGAACACAGTCCGCACAGTCACGGGTTTCACCACCGGACTAAAAGTATCAGTATAGTCCAAGCCAAGGCGCTGCCGAAAACCCTTGGCAACAAGGCGAGCCTTGAAGCGATCAAGGAACCCATTAGAGAGAAACTTGACACGAAAGATCTAGCAACAATCAAGGACATTATAGTGAGGTAAGCGGGGAACCAGTTCCCAAGTGTAATTACGCAGCAGAGCTTGATGTTCGGCAGTGAGAGCCTCAGTCCATTCTTTATACTGCAAGGCTTCTTTAACTAAGCGGGGATGAAGGGGCGGAGGCCGAGCACAAAACGCAGCAGAGGACCTCCTGTTGGGCTTAAAAAGACCAGGAGCAGTGACAGCAGCAAAAATCCGCTTGGGCTTAAAGATGCCCCGTTGAGCCCGTGTAGCCATGCTATGGGTGCGGCGAATGAGGGGAGGTGGACAGGATGGCAATGCAGAAGGGTCCGGAGTGGGAAGCAGAGACCCAGACGGCACGGGCCGTTGGAGTGGAGCGGGCGCAGGCCGAGACAGAGGCCCAGGAGGGGCGGAGGGCAGGGGCCCGGCGGCAGATGCAGACTGAGGCCGCTGAAGAGGAGTGGGCGCGGGCCCAGGCGAAGGTCCAGGAGGGGCGGAGGGCAGGGGCCCAGTGACAGGGCCGGTTGGGGGCGAGGGCAGGGGCCCGGTCGGTGGAGTAGATGATGCCGAGGATGAATCTCCAGCAGGAGGATCAAGCGCTGAGGGGAGGTGGGCCGAAGCAGGCCCAGTAGTAACTCCTGGCACGCGTAGGGAAATAATAGAGGGTGTAGAATCAAGTAACCAAGTCTCAACAGTAGGAGTGATAGGAGATGGGGGAGTAGTAAATCCTGGAAAAGAATCCTCAACAAAAATGACATGCCGAGAGAGAAACAAACGTTGAGTAAGCGGATCGAAACAACGATAAGCGCTCCGTTGAGGACAATAACCAAGGAATATACAAGGACGAGAGCGAGGATCAAGTTTGATGTCTCTAACAGAGTAATCACTGAGTTTGAGGGCAGAAAAGCCGCATAGAGACACCTTGACGAGGACGACGTCCCTCCTGATAGTGACGATATTAAGGTACCCGGCCCGTCCTGCCTTGCCCCGTCCCATTAGTGTCACTATTGATCGTTTGATTATTTTAGGTTAAATAAAAAATAGTTAATATGATACTAACGTAACACCAATCCAATGTAGTGGATGTAGTGATGGCAATGGGGTGGGGCGGGGCGGGTACCTCAATTCCCATGCCCCGCCCCACGCTACTACGGGTCGGGGCGGGTAAAACCCGCGCGGGTACGGGGCGGGGAGGGTCGACCCACTCTTACATGTTATTCAAAAAAAATACAAGTAAATTTTACTTTTTACAATAAAACGTAGGGAAAACACTTTAAGAATGAAAATATTGATAATAGAATGGATAATTGAGCCTAACAAGTTGAAAGATAGACTCTAACTAGTTGAAGAAAAGTCAAAATAGGAGAAATATGTATAGATATTGTAAGAAATTGAGATAAAATGAGTCCAGAACGGGGCGGGGTGGAGCAGGGCGGGTCGGAAGCGGATACCCATGCCCCACCCCACGCTACTGCGGGTCGGATAATACCCGCGGAGCGGGTTGAAATTGCCATCACTAAGTGGATGGTCCAACTTACCAGTAGAATAGCGGGTTCCACGATCCCGGCCCCCAGCCCGTCATTTTTTTGATTTTTTCCCTTCGTTTTTTCTGTGTTTTCTTTTTGGCGTTTCCATGTCTACAAACAAATATATACGGGATAGAAATGGCAACGCATTAAAAACAAAAACAATAAATATTAGAAAATAGAAAGAAATAAAGGGGGACAGATAGAGAAAGCAACGGCGCCTTTAAAAGGGAAGAGTATGCAGCGTGGAGAGAGTTGGCATAAACCGCATCAACAGCAGTAAGGCCGAGGCATAGCTAATGAAAGATACAGTGGAAGGGAAGCGATCTGTTTCTCTGTAACGGCTACTTCTGGTTACTTGTTCTCGCGAGTGAGGACTGTGATTCCTTCTTTTCCCCTTCTTCTTTTGGGTGTTATTTTCCCCTCTTTCCTCTATCGGGCGCGAGGGAAGAGGAAAAGGTACATTCTCTTCTCCGATTTGGTTACGGCGGAGCCGGAGATGGACAGCAGTAACAGGTAAACCTCTATATGGGTCTCTTTGATTCTTAATCTTGATGGGTGATTCTGTTTGGGAGATGCATTTTCCTGAAATCTATTTCCTTCCCCAGTGATCAGCTTGTTTTTTCTTTTGGGTTTTGAATCGGGTAGTGGAGTTTCGTTTATACCTCTGGTGTTCTATTTGATCAATGCGGATTCAGAACACAGCCGCTGCTCGGTAATGCCTTGATTTTTGGTATTTTGTTTTAATTGAAAGGGGAATGTCTAAGTGCATTCGGATTGTACTGTTGGAAGGTCAAATAATGCAAGGATTAGAATTCTCAATTATGCTAGCTCCTGAAATTTGGTGGGTCAATCTGTTTTCCTTTTGACTTTTGAGTTGCTGGTGGTAACCCATTGGGACAGTGCCATCCTGAAAAAAGCATATCGACATTCCTTTTATCCTCCGTGATGTGTTGGCTTCACCGCTGGCTATAGCATCCAATGGCTGAACCACTTTACTTTTAGTCTTACATCTAAGTTGCCACTATTTATTTCTCCTGGACAACTGTGATGGGCCTTCAGGCTGGTGAATGTTTGGTACTGGCTACTATAGTGTTCTTAAAACGAGGATGATATGTATGAGATGTTGGAAATTGTATCACTGCTCCGGATTGGGTCCGAAATGCTGCACCTCAATCCTATTAATTTGTCATGTTCTGATTTATGATTATGAATGTAGGATAGTATGAGGTTTGGATCTTTGTATAGTGGGTTGGTAGTAAGTCCATTTCCTCGGTTTGTGCCCATTATTCTATCATATTGCAGCAGCAGTGGAGGGAATTGGAATTGGCAGTTGGAGAATCATGATATCCCCAAGAACATGGATCCAGGTAGCTTGCTGTATGTTTTCTCGATTTGTTGATATGAGAGTTTATCTTTCTATGCTTAGGATTGATATTGGGAACGAGTGATTGAAGTTCTGGGTGAACTTATGGGTTAACAGATTCATTATGGAATGAAGTGGGACTTAATGAAGAGGATCTCTCCTATATGTTTGATGAAACAACTCCGGTTAAAGCTTGTGGTGATTTGGCTTACCATATTGGGCATGGTGGTATGACCCTCATATCCTGCTCTTGTTGTTTGTGTCCCTTATTGCGTATGAATTTTTCAACTGTTGTTTCTGATCAGAAATTGTTGAACTGCAGATAGCATGAATAAGGAACTACAAGAATGTAGAGAGACTTCGTCTCAGCTAAAGAGACGTCGTATGCTACAGTATGACACTGAACTGCTAGCTTCGCCCTATTGTGACGAGGAAATGTCATCTGCATTCCTGAAATCAAATGTCAGTGGGTCTCTGTACTTGTTTAGTACTACTATGAATTGTGATGTTGTGGTTCTCTTAAGTGATGCATTGAGTACTTATATTGAGGGAATGCTTCTTGCAACATGCATTGTGTACTGGTACGGCATTTGAGATGGATGTTTACCACTCTATTTGTATAAGGGTACATTGGTCGCATTGCAGTGCGACTTCTCGAACTGATTTCATGGCTGTATTTTACTTCAGTGCACTGAAGAAATTGATTCTACTTTGTTTTCTTCCTCTGTGGAGCACTTCTATATCCCCTGTCTGCTTTTATAACTGAGTCCTTTATTCAGGAGAGGGTAGATTCACTGGAAGATGTTTTGCCTGTTGCATCACAGTGGGTTCATGGAGCAACAGGTTGATCCCCGGATAGTCTTCTGAAGTTGATATGCTCTATGGTTCTTGCTTGAAAATGTCATTGCCTTATATTTTTAGATTTTGCTGCCTCAGGCTATGATAGTCTGGATCATTCATCTGAAGGCAGGCTTTATGAATGCTTCAAGGACACTGAGATGCAGTGTAGTTCTGTTGATATGTAAGCACATTTGATGTTTAAACTTTGAGTCTGACTACACTACTGCTCTGATCTCACTGGTCTAGTTTATGGAATTCAGGGACTTCGCAGGATCATCTGAAGGTCAAATCGATATCAGGGGTACATGAAACTGTCTATTTTTGTGTCGTTGATCTTCCTTTTCGGTTGTAATTGCAATCCTACTAAGTTGTTAATGTATTCTTGCTGCTTTAGATTTGTGTCATCCATCGCCTGAGCTTTCAGCCAATGCAGTTACCAATCGGGTGTCTCGCCTTCCTAAAAATATAATCTTTAGAGGCAAGTCTGATTCATGTTCATCTGTGTCACCAGTGGGGTTCCTCATCTCCAGTATCCACATGACCCATTTCTATTTTTTCTCTTGTAGGGAGGAGGTCATTTATTAGACCACCAACCAGGTTGCCTTCTTCTGTTGCATATCCTTTTGCCTTCATCAAACCCTGTGCATATCATGGAGATGTCACCCTAAAGGACATAAACCAGCGAATCCTTACTCCGCCACCATCAAAATCTAAGCAGCAGGAAGAAGATCCAGCGACTTACCCGACTTCTGCTTTCTCTGGTAAGCCAGTTGTTGGGAAGACTAAAATCCGTACAGAAGGAGGAAAAGGGAGCATCACAATCATGAGAACCAAAGGATGAGTAGATTTAAGACTGGAAAATTTTAGATGGCCCTGTAACTCAGCCCGTCATGGTTTTGTTCGTGGTTGGTGTTAGTAGTATGTGCATTAGGGGCAACAACAAGGTAAAGAAGGTAGATATGCAAATTTTTGGGTTTGAATTTCAGGCTTTTGTTTTGGAAACCATAAAACACACTGATAAGAATCCCAAGTGTGTTTTGTGTTTCCAAGCTGAATGATTAATGATGGGGTTTGGGTAGGCTCAGTTGCTGACTGTTGTGTCTTAGGAGAGGTTAGCATTTTGGGGTTAAGACTGATTATTTACCTATTCAAAACTGAAATCTTTATGATTTACCATGAGTCTGGCAACTACTGCCATCCATCTCTGCTTGCTTTCTTTCTTTCTTTCTTTCTTTCTTTCATTCATCTCTTTTATACTTAGTAGAGGCTAAGCGTGCCCCCATTGAGTGTAAAGATGGCAACCCCCTCACCCTCCCACCACAAAAAAGTGCTAATCGTCACTCTTCAATTTTAAGCATATAAGGATAAGCATTGCATCACGCTAATCTAAATTGGTTCTTTGACCTAAAGCAGAAAAAGAACATAAGTTGATGCTCTATGCAATTCTCTGAACCGTTACAAAAGAAGTAAAAATGCTTTGAACGCCATGGATGATGTCATTTCGATTTGTTTCTCGCGTGATGATGAATAGATCATCTGTGAATGTGTATAAGAATGCGATTGTCGAATGTGTGAGTGTATGGTGGTTGGATATGCATGATAGTAACATTGCTCGGAATCTAGGAATCACTCCAATTTTTTATTTCTTTCAAATTTGAGAATTCTAAGCCAGGCTCATTGCTTATAATGTGATTTCATGCTTTGGATCGTTGACTCTAGCTGCCTCATCTCGACCAATGTTGAGGAGAGCATAGTGCAAGAGATGTCTCAAATTGAAATTTGTTGTTTAACTCATCAATGTATCTTGATGTGAATGTTTGAATAGTGATTGATGGTTAGTTTGCTTGTGTGGGAAGTTGGATTCTCAATTATAGGTTGGTCCAGCAATGCTCGGTAGTCGGCTCTGTGCTTCCCATAACCAAGTTTAATGAAGCATTGAAAAATGGGTTGTAACTTACAAATTTTATGTGTGGCACCAATCGAGTGATGAGGGAGGAACAATTTGACGACCTTAATGAGGACCTTATGGGGATGAATAAAGGCAACGAGTATACATCCCTCTGAAGTAGTTGTATGCATGCTACCCTAAAAAGGTTTGCACCCGACCAAATAAGGGCAACTCATGTGTATAGTTACTTTCGATCAGAATTTGATGTTTGAGGGTGATGTGTATCGAGCCCCCCCCCCCCCCTTCAGAGTCAGTGATAAGCCATTCAAAGGTTGGTCATCCCTACACAGTGGCCTATCCACATGGGTGGAGGTATAGGTCGGAGGAAAAAAATGCGTGTTCGGTTAGGAACATCATTTTTTTAAGTTGATACAACCTCAAAAAGCACAAAGGACTGAAGGATGTTGAGAAAGTGTAAAGATCAATTATTCCTTCTACGTACACGGAGAACCTAAGATTGTGCATTGTGCTTATCTTTCTTCACTTGAGAACATTTTGTTCATGATTTGTCGTTTGAGTCAAATATTTGCTTGGGACAAGCAAGCACCAACATGTGAAGATATTTGATAACACCTAAAATATGAGTTATCGACCTTCCATATCTTGGCGTTTTCATGACATTTTTTGGATCTAGGTCGTGATCACAAGAACGACAACGCAACGAAGTTCATCGGACTTGGATGACGACTTAGAAGCTTGAAGAGAAACTTTTACTAGTGATGGAGAAAACAACAAGCTTCCTTAAATACCTGAAACTCCAGGAGGCATGGCTGAACAAACTCTCTATGAGTACACGAGGTCTCAAATTGTGAACATTACTTTCAACATCATCCTCCCTCCAATTATTGTGCTTAATTCAAGCTAAAGACTTTAATAATCCATATGGTATATAATGTTGGACCCTTTAAGGTCGTGATTACGAGAATCTGGATTTGACATATCAAAGCATTTTGAAGATATCTGATTCTACGCATCAGCCAGGTGTAGAGCCAGACATTAGCTAGCTACACCTCTTTACTTTCTCCATATGAAGGAAATTCAAGAGATGGCTAAATCACCAACCACTAGGAACTTTCAGAACGTTGAGGCACTGGTCCAAGCTTTCATAAAAGAATTTCCCCTTCATGATGAACTGAAAATCTAAGGGGCAGATTGCTCGTTTCTGGTAATATGCTTTTGAGTTGTTGTACAAACTACAAAGCATGAGAGCAATTTTAGGAGCTCATTCATTCTTTCCCTCATCATGGCTTTGGGCATGAACAATTAGTGAACATCTTTGACAAAGGTATTGATCTAAAAACTACAGTGATGGTGAATCAGGCTGCAAAAGGTGATGTAATGCCAAGGACCGCTCCTTGAGCTCTTCAGCATTTTCGCGTCTATGGATGCAAAGTCCCAAAATTTGTTTAGGAGGATTGCTCCAATGTATACAAAAGGGTGTAACAATAAGATGGCCACTATGTCATTCTGTCTCAGCAGCTAGCGCAGCTAACCCATGTGGTAAATGCATTAAAACTGGAACATAACCAGACTGTAGCATAACCATTTGCCTAGTGCGTCAAAGATGGTTACGATGGGCAAAACTGCGGGGCTATAGACGAATCCCCAATCGAAGAGGTCGATTTGATGGGTACTTGTTATTGGAGCTTTAACAATAAGTTCAATAGTGATTATAGAGCGTGCATGGAGCCAACTATCGGCTAAACCTTAGCCACTTCTGAGAAGTCAAAAGTCAGCCGACTACCCAAAAATATCATCGACCAATGCGTTGTACCTTCATAAAATGCATTGAGATGGGAAGGCTCCACCCAATTCTAATTGGGTAAGAAAGTCGAATCCTGCACTACCAGGAGTTGATAGGTGACCACCACTCCAAAACCAGAACATGAACCCTCTGATCCTCTAACAGGACTTACTGATGATGAACTATATGCATACAACAGAGTTCAGGAGGAAACTCTTAAGAATTTGGAGTGCGAACTAGCTTCCCTTTTGGAGTTTCAGAATACCCAAAGAAACGCAAGATCTCTCCCAAACAATACAGAAAACAATCCTAAAGAAGATATCAAGGTTTCTGGGGAAAACCAATCCAAACCTCACAAAATTTTCACCAACATCCAGTCAGAATCCAATTTTATCGACTTCACTGCCATGAATACCAGAAGGTGTCGAAAGGTACAAAGCTAAAAGCTAAATTAGAAGTTTCCCACTAAGCAGAAACCGACGACTCAACTGCCAATTTTGAACTAAAATTGATGCTTGTGGTGCCAATTTTTGTTCATCTAGAACATACTCTAGAACTCAGTTCTCTACTAATTCTTGGGCTAAATTACATGTTTGGTCACTCACATTATACAAATCTTTCACTTTTGCCACCCAAATTACTTTTCTTTCTTATTTGCCACTAACTTTACGAATCGTTTCACCGTTAGTCACCGGCCGTTACACTTCGTTAAATTTGTCCTACGTGGCAGTCAACTATAAAGGTTGACAGTTAACTAGATGACGTGGAAATTAAAAAAATTATAAAAAAATCCACCTCATCATTTCACTTATATTTATCATATTAATTATTTAATAAAAATTAATAAATTACCAAAATTAATTATTATCTGGAGAAATAAATTGCAGAGGCCTCGTTGAGTTAGCCCCTATTACTCTTCTACATCTTCGCTTCGTCGGAATTCCCCCTTTTCACAACCTAGATGAAGCTATCCTCCGATGCCTCCAGAGCACCAGCAATCTCACACAGCTGAGCATTCGAAATGGTGGATATGCTCCCAAAGCACATGGACAAAATTGAATCGGATCCATGGTCATGTTCATCGATGGCTGCGACAGTGGAAAACTATTCACCACGGCACCAAAGCTGTTGACCTCCAATTCCTCCATCTGCTCTCGCAGTTCTATAATCCCGATATCATATTCATCGCCTTTCAAGAAAGGCTGGAGTTGTATCTTGGTCAATTGAATTTCGTGCAAAAAGCCATGGAGAAGAAAGGGTTCGGAATCGGAATCCGATTCACGCCTTTGTAAGGCTCGTGGAGTTTGAGGTATGAAGTGAAGATACGACGAACGACCGTGTTTCGTTGAAGAAGAGCCCATAATGCAGAGTTTGCCGGCGGTTTCTGTAGCCCAGCAAAGACCATGTGTTGGCGACGAAGCAATTGACGCCACAGTCGGAGGAGATCGTCGAAGGGCCGCTGCAAGATGGCCATGGACTTGAAGAACGAGATCATGAGGTCAGGGGACTTGATGGCATTCTCGCAACCTTTCCGGCAGCCTCGGCATAGTGGAATTCTATGGTTTTGAAGACCCAATTAAGCTGCAGCCTCACCATGTCTGTCATTGGGATCATGTGGGCTTGATCCATCAAAGGGAGGAAGACCACGTGAAGGCCTCGGTTGATAATTAATTTTTGCAATTTAATTAATTCTTATTAAATAATTAATATGATAAATTATATAGACAAAGTAAGTGGAATGATGAGGTGGAAAAATAATTTTTTTAATTTTTTAATTTCCACGTCATCTAGTTAACGGTCAACCTTTATAGTTGACTACCACGTAGGACAAATTTAACGGAGTGTAACGGTCGGTGACTAACGGTGAAACGATTCGTAAAGTTAGTGGCAAATAAGAAAGAAAAGTATTTTGGGTGGCAAATGTGAAAGATTTGTATAATTTGAGTGACCAAACGTGTAATTTAGCCCTAATTCTCGATTCTTTTGGACTACACAAGTAGACCCCAAAGTCATCTTGGCCGAAAGGCTCTACCAAGGGGAAAAAGAGATAGCCTCACTAGTACTTAAAGTGATTTTTCTATTGGCTAAAAGTTTCCAAAACTTGTTTTGGAGCAAAAATCAAATAGAGAAACTATCCCAAGATGAAGGACCCATCTCCGGCATAAGAACATAAATGACTACTTGGTTGGTCGAGGAGTCAGTCCCTCTTTGAATCATTTAAATTCTAAAACTGTGGATAATGAGAGTTCTTAAAGTTAACTCGTACATGGAGTATCCATTACCACCTACCACAAACAGTCTCGACCTTCTATACGTACACAAAAAGAAACCTTTTTTCTATACCTAAAAGAAGATAGAGAAGAACTCCTTACCTTATCAGGGAGATGAATTCTCTCCAAACCTTGAAAATATGAATTTTTTTCCTACCACAAAGGGCAAAATTTAAGACTGTTATGAAACAAGACGAGACAAACAATCCTCTCTTAGAAGGATTCAGTGGCCCC